TGGACTCGAGTCGACAAGAGTAAATTCCTGGGTAATTACCAAATATCAGTTGAAGGTAATCATTGCGACAAGTAAATGTGTTAGTAACTTATTTGTTGTATTGAACACGTAATGTGGGCCAGATTTGATAGAAGGTTGCACAATCATCTCGCAACCGACTCATATCACATAATAAGCTGGACGCACTGATATTGTTTTGTAAAAATATTAATATTATATCTATTCTACAGTTTAAACACGTTCACCAATTCTAACAATTTTGGTTGAGTAATTGTTTTAATTGTTTTCGGATCTTATCGATATTGTTATCTTTTCTTTATTAGTTTAGGAAAATATAAAAACATATGAATGTACTGCTACGAGCCGATGACGCGTTTAAACTAGAGTTTCTCGAGTATATACGGTGGCACCGCACGCACACGCGCCCGGCTGATTAGCAATCGCAAGCACTTATCTATTTACTAATTGTCTTTTTACTAATTGAAAGACGACGAAACAAACATTTTTATAATGTTGCAGATACTGTGCATTTAACATCCGTAATTATATGTATCACATTACAGCGGGCTACCTGCCTGTACTCCGCGGTCATGTTACTTAAAAAACAACTGTATTAACTCAACTAAACCGGATAAACGACGTGTCGGCGTAATCATCAAACTTCAATATCACAAATTAGAAAACGTGAACTTTAATGTTAATAACAGCTGATTAATAGCGATAACGCGTAGTACACATCGTGTATAGGCTAGTTAGCTAGTGCTCTAAAACAATATCTTGTCGCTGCAGTAGGTACCAGTCGACAAGCACGAGTAGAACGCCGCCGCGCCTTAACGCAGAGTACACACGAGCGGCGGTCGCGAAAGCCTCAGCAGATACGACGACCATACTCGATCCAAACTATTTTAATCTCCGGTTTACACAGCTAACAGCACTTGACGCTATCTACAGTACTTATCAAGTCAATTAGCAGTAAATCGATTTATTTATTCATTTAGAAATGTGTAAATAATTTTCATAGCGCATAATTATTAAAACAAGCAACTTGTTTCCCAACAAATTGATTTATAAACTGGTGTCCTGTCGGCTGTATCTCAATTGATTTATTTATAGATGCATTTATCTAGAAGTTGAAAAAAAAAGTTCAGTATTATTGTTAAGGCTGATAGACCATGTACTTTCTTTCATGTAATTATCAGATCTGCGTCGCAAGTGATTAGATCATGGCAATGGCCTGACCTGTACTACAAAATACATTTTATCAGCTCCCATACCACCGATTCGCGAATGAAAGTGTACAGTAACAAACAAACAGTAACAAAGCCGCAACACCATCCAACCAACTTAAGGAAATGGCTTTGTTGTATTGTCTGTATGGTATTAAATAGAAATGTAATTTTAGCAAATCTGTCGTTATGTGATTAGGTGAATTAAGAACATAAAAGTGTGAATATCAATTTTTTGAGTCATCAAAAGGGAACGTAGCAACATTATATACAATATCTCGTACGTCATAAAAGAACTAAAACCAAAATATCTTATTAAATCTCACTTTACATCATACTTCTCTAAGACACTGGCTACGGCTGGAGAACACGGGCAACACGCTCCGAATGACAGCTTATAATATTTCCTACTAATGTATTAACTGCAACTTGTCTGATACTTGTACCGCAAAGCGATTCCTTCTAGTTTGAATGGTGGAACTGTCATTACACCTGTGTCAATATCTATCATTATACTAATACTATTTCTAAGTTTTGAATACTCATAAATACCAGGTTACTATGTAATCAACTCTGAGTTGTACAACGAATCAAGTGATCTCGAGATAATACCGCAAGACTGTGTTCTTATTTATCGTAGCTATGCTGATAGCCTTGAGAGACTGTTTCAGCTTCACCCTAACGTGTACTCACCTACACGGGGCTCAAACCGGGAGTGTTGCTAACATTGGCCCTAGGAAAAGCGGTGCTTCGCAGAACTGTGTTCGATGTGAGCTCCGCGACTTCAGTAAACATACTGTAAACTAATGTGCAGCGCTTGTTCCAGGATTAAGTATAGAATGTTGAGGGAGCAGCAGTGATCGCCGCGATGTTTGGTGGCAGTGGAGCCGGCAGCGGTTACGGCGGGGGCGGGGACTGCGCCGAGGGCTACGGGCTGGGGTACGTGGCCAGCGGCGGCAGACTCCAGCAGTACGCCGCGCACTTCGCTCCGCATCAAAACGTTTGGCACCATCACCATGCAGCTCACCATGATGGTTATGGTATGTCTGATTTACTAATATCTGCGGTTTTTAAACTACCGTCATTTCCATCACAAATCAACATAGACTCTGCAAACATCGTCCTCAAGCCCAAGCTGAGGTTTGAGGACGATGGTTACACACTGTGCTATTAATGCACCTCGTAAACCTCTTCTTGTCTTTACAATCTTCTGCTACACAAAGTATTCATTGAATTTATGTAAGACCCGTCCCGACTGTATCCAGTGTAAATACTGTAAGTGACCGCGCGGCGCAACGTCGCCTGAGACAGTCACTTTGACCGTTCAGTTGGCCATCGTGATATTCGCTTTCAGAAATTTTATAATTTTCTTTCCACGCCTTTCATTTTTAGTTCCTGACCCTTAAACTCTCATGCCTCTGAAACAATTTAGTTTAAACGTATCATTATCGATGATACAATGAAGCCTATAATTTCAAACTAAAACATTAATTAGAAATCCTAGCTTACAATAATTATTATCATTTACAAGAGATAACATTTTGTACTTTAGATCTTCCGGCGGCTTGGAAGCCTACGTCGATGAATAATGGAAATAGTAATTAAACTAATATATTAAAACACATGTATCTGAAGAATCTTAGAAATCTAATCGTAGGTAAATGTTTTAATGATCTCGCCGCTATCATTATTTTGTAGGCTTTCTTACGTAAGGAACTTATATTTTCGTAGTTTATCGGGATCCGTTTTGAAATTTTATTCATAATTAATTCAGCACATAAAATTGATACTTAATCTTTTAGAATTACCTACTCGTTTGAGTTTCAAATTCCTAGTTTATGAAGTAACAAATTGTAGTGGCCGAAAATTGACACCTAGAGCTACGTCTACCCGGTACTTGTACTACACATAGTATAATATGATTGAATGCTGTAAGATAAAATTTAATATTTTTATCTGCCAGGATAAATAGTCTTTGTTTCATGTATAATCTACTGAATCAACCTCTAACATCATTAATATTGTTTTTCAACTGTGGTGTCCTTAGTCTAAAGCTGTTTAAAATTTACATTTTATTTACCAAACCATAAAAGCTTTGAAATTTTATTTCTATTTTCTAACATGAATAATTTTGTCATAAATTGAAGACAATTATAAATGAATGCCGGTTGTATATAACGCTACATTCGCGGTATCCTCGTACGATATCTCATCAAAGGTTCATGAGCTCATTGTTGTCGATAAGCGTCCACAATTATTCTATTGTGTCCGAGATAAGCAAGCATTTATATTGTTTTTATCGCGTGACTCAGCCGCTACTAATATCTATTTGTGAGTCTATCGCGGATACATGACAAATAATTCATAATGCTCAAACAAAGTATTATATAAAACTATTATCGTATTTGATAAATTGAATTTGATTTAAAAACTATTCCAGTCAACGGTTGGACTCATATTTATAGAAGTTATAACAACTAAATACTTTGAACTTTAATCTGTTTCTCAACACTTCAAATAACAGGATGGTATCTCCAATTAAAATTCAATTAAATTCAAACTCCAGTGCTATAAAAGTTAGTTCTGCCGTTTTATTAGAACATTCTCAAGTCACTAATCATTAAATTGCATTCACAATTTTCTTCGAGTTATCGCACAGTACACTTTTATATAATTTCCACAACCTTTATAATGTCTAATGTCTTACGCATGAAACCCTGTTTAGTTGATAGATTACAGATTCCCGATCATATGATATCGCTGACCCTAAAAATATGTAGTTAAATGATAAATAAACTTATTCTGCGTTTACATTCAAGAAAATAGTTTTCAAAGCGTGATTTTCCGGTGCTATTTATGAGAATTGTTGTCATTAACAATAGTATTTGTTACAATCCGAAACAAACCTAAATCGAGGTAGCCCTGTCAAATAACATCCTCATATTTTGAGTGTGTGACAATATTTTTACTGAGCGCTATCGAACTGCGCGCACGAGTACGTAAGCACAACCGCAAAGTTATTAAATATCACAAGTTAATTCCCAGTAAGATATTTTTTTTCCTTCAGGAGGATAAATCATGTTTTTCTGTCGAATGTATGTCTGTGTGGCGCATGCGAACGGTGACAGCGATATGTTAATAGGCATTCCCTAATAGACTTGCCTTTATTAAGCAGTGATTTTGTCTTTTGATAAAATTGCTTTAAAAGATAGCTTTAAAGCCTACTTTAAAGTATTAGTATGTTAAATACTAGTTAGCTAGTTTTTAATGCGAGCACGTCAAATAAATAATAGTGATAAATTTATTTCCGTATCTCATATCACATGTTACGTTATTTAGTTATGTTGTGTGATAATTTGTAAAATGTATAATAGATAACGGTAAACTTTTTTTTTAATTTGGTATTAATTTTAATCACTTTCAATTGATTTAACAGATTGTCTTTTTATATTTCGAATAAAATAAAATAAATCAGCGGTACAAGCAGTACAAAGGTCCTTGAACCGACCTGTTCTCTTATTTGTAAGCCTTGATGATAAACTTTGACAAATAACGCCTAACTCAAACAGGTAACCTAATTTCCATAAATTTCCTGGGATTTTTCTATTGTCGACTTGTAACGTTTGTAAAACTGTAAGCAGTAAAACAGTCCATAGCTCATGACTTAGTCCCCGCTCGGAGGGTCACAGTGACGTGATTCAGCGAGCGATAACCGTCTGCGGTACAGACCAGGCTCGCCAATCGTCGACACTCTGAACACTGAGCAGTCGGTGCGCGACCTGACCTGCGACTGCGCGGGTCAAATGTTAACCACACATTCACTTGCAATCAGTATAATCGACTAATAATCAACCGACAATTGATTACAATCACTCAAAAATCGATTAAAGTCGACAACATGGATGCTCTCTCAGTGAACTGGCTAAAAAACATAGCCTTGCTCACAGGTAACTAATTTATATTATAATACGATAATTATAATAATATGTTATCAGTGGCATCGAGTCGCGCTGATAAAGATCAGTGTTCGTTATAAATACTCTATTACTGTATGTTGATATGTTTGTACAAGTTTCGTTTGCGATACCATATTTTTTCAACTCTAATTGTTTTTTAATTAGGCATTAAATTTGTGTGTTTAATCTAATTTTATTTTTAGTTCAAGAAGTAAGGTTTTATATTAATATTAATATAATTGATAAAGTTAAATCAATTTTCGCATTCGATTGTCATCTATTTTATATAGGTAATATTACAATATGGCGTCGTGTTTAATATTTCTTGTAATGGAAATTAGTACCTATGTATAATTGGAAACGCTAGCAGCGTATTTGCTATAAAATACAATTAGAACACTAGTTTACTGGCCGCGTAAGAAACATCATTTTAGCGTATTGTTTTTACGCAACAATGTTGTTTGACATATTTTACTGCTTTCATTTTCTCATTAAATCGTAACAGTATTTATACTGGGTAAAAAAATAGGAACAACAACAGGTCGCCTTGTCTGTGAGCTAAAGTACTTGCGCATTGTTACAGTCAGAAGCTACTTGTCCATTTAGATATAGCTTACAGACGACCTTCCTTGAGACCTGCCTCCAGAATTCAATCATAAATATAATCTTGTGACTTGACACGTATACACCGGACATCTTATCCGGCTGGGACCGACCTTATGTGCCCATTAATACCTAGAATATAAAAGACGTGTCAAAGTATCTGTCTATGTTTTAGTTAGCTTTTATATATATATTTTTTATTGATTAGATGGGTGGACGAACTCACAGCCCACCTGGTTGTTAAGTGATCACTGGAGCCCATAGACCCTTCAAACCGAAACGCATTACTGCTTCACGGCAGAAATAGGCATGGCGGTGGTACCTACCCTACTTACAAGAGGTCCTACCACCAGTAAAATTACGACTTAATTAGTTGAAGGTGGATATTTTAAATGAAATAATGTGTTTGGATTTAGTATTTAAAGTATACATTATGCGTCAGCAGGCGGAGGCAGCGTGGGCGGCGTGGGCGGCGTGGGCTCGGTGGCCGGGGGACTCTACGGCCAGAACGTGGTCATGGGCTCTTGGTGTGCACCCTACGATGCTCTGCAGCGTCCGCCCGCTTACAGTGAGCATTCTCAGACTTATTTACAGTGACTATTGGACAACTACAGTTCTATCCTTCTTGAAAGAAGGTCGGGATGAGTCCTCGGCGGTTGATGATGACTTGACGGGCCTCTGATTCAAATTTAAATGTTGCAGATCTCTTTGAACGACACTGATTTCTTATGATCAAACCAACCAACCAACCAATATTTAATATGTGTATTCGTAAAATTCACTCTGCTTAAGCCGCCTGGAACTGTATCTTGTAGAAATTATTTTAATTAGAAGATCACTTGCAGACAGTTTCTGTTGGTATTTGTAGTGACGGGGACGTCACAAAAACACGGTCCACCTCGCGTACGAAGTCGTTAAAGAAAGTACGACGCAAGTGTCGCCGCTTGTGGCTTCACGACACGCACTCGACTCCCAAATGTTATTTACATGGTCAGATTCATTGAAGTAACAGCTATTCTGTCCTACAAAACAGAGCACACATTTTCTTGATGCCAAAAATAGTCATCTAGAAGGTACCAGCCCGTATAAAGTTTAATGGCTATTTTTAAGCTGTGCCTGCTAACACTACTGTCTTTAAAATACATTAGTATACCTAATATGTGGTTTTATAAAAAAATACAATTTTCTTAAAAATTTAACCGAGAAAACTAACAATAAATATAGAACACACAAATTCCACTGTCTTTCGTTTATCAAGTCTAGTAAATTAATTTGATAAGAGCTGAGGCGACGTTTCGCATTGTTTCTAGTTTTTCAATTCAATTAAAATGTAACGATGAACAAATTAATGGATTTGGGTTAGCAGCAGATGGCTGCTGTTATCGCTCCGGATAGCTGATAACGTAACTGTTCACCCACCTAATAATACAATCAAATGCACAATATACAAAATGTACAGTATCGCACGTTTTGTACAATCATTCAATTAATTACGTTTAATGATACTGACTGCTGATTTCCAATTTACTTCAACAAAAAATTAAAAATCAGCATCAGCACCGTGCTTGCCTTAGACGATGCTAAACCGAAAAGTCATATTTCAAGGACTGGTTGCATTGCTTTGTAAATCTAGATCATTTTATTCCAAAGTTTGGTTCTAGTTTAGCGCATGGGTGTGTATTATGAAAAACTTTATTTCTTTTGATTTTACTTGATATTCGTTGTCATAATATTTATAATATAACGACGGTTTTAATCAAACATGAACAACATTATATTTGTTTAATTAAGATAATATGCGCTACTGTACTATCATTATATCTCGTGTATCACATTACAAAGTGTAAGCCACGATTGTTTTTGTTCGAAACATTCTCGGAAGTAGATAAGCGATTATCGGTTGCGAGTAGGTGCCCACATTATCCTGTGTGCCTGAATGTAAGTTGGTATACAGTAAATAAAAACTCACTGAATCTGTATTTCAAATTAAAAGTAGCAAAAGTATTACTAATTTAGAGCACGTAGCTCGTTGAAGACCTGGTCCCACGTCTCATGGCACATAGTAGTCCGCAGTCTTTTCATTCCGGTGTTCACGCGCTTTGCTGGGCTCTCCTTTACACTACGTCTGTGCTGAACTTGTTGTCAAACACAATATGAAGTCAAGGATCTAAGAATAGTTTGTCCGGCTATCTCCTGCAGCTGGTTTTGTAAATCACCTAATTTACCTTGTTAACATTCTCCCTTCATACCACCATATTCACCATTACTCGGATCTTGTATAGGTTACCTACCTACTTGGTATAGGGCACAGGACATACGTAATATATCAAGATAGGAAAGTGACTCTTTAAAATTAATCAGTAGGCAGGGATTTGGCTGTGCCCGACATTGCCGACGTCCATGAGCGACGGCACCCGCTTACCATCAGATGGGCCACTCGCTCGTCTGCCTAAAAAGGCAATAAAAAAACGTCGGACCGTGAGTCTAAAGAAGCTAGCAAAAAAATAATCATTCTAACTACCGCCCAAAAGCTTATTGTCAAAGAGATGTGTAGGTTGACACATCAACAGGAAGCGAATGATATAAGGAGGTATGGAACGCTAGGTTAGCGGTGAGGGTGGTAACGTGCGTGTGGCCACAGATGGCGCCCTCGAGTACGAGGAGGGGCGCGAGTGCGTGAACTGCGGGGCCAACAACACGCCGCTGTGGCGCCGCGACTCCACCGGCCACTATCTGTGCAACGCGTGCGGCCTCTACCACAAGATCAACGGCGTCAACCGACCGCTCGTGAAGCCCAGCAAGCGGCTGGTGAGTCTCTCCAGCTCTCAGTAACGGTCTGTCTGCGTGCAGGTGCGGACGCGGACCTCCTCACGCGCTTCTATAAGGAGGGCTCCGTGCAGAGATGGATGAGTGTGGACAGCATGACGCGGGGCATGAAGAAGGTGAGTCGGTGGCGTGTAGACTAGTGCATGTTTGGTTCGCGCGCACGCTGAAGTGGCTCCCTGTTGTTTGGCCTCGAAGGCTACACGCTACCGCTCCCCACTTCGGCCTCTGCTTTTTACTTGGCTTATGTTGCACTTTCCTAATTGATAACGGTGGGAGGGCATACTGTGCTTGTATTTCGATGATCGCATTGACTAGGCGGGGCGGCCGCGCGCTCTGCGCCTATCTAAATAACTTGAACTAGGTGATAACTTATAACTGAAATTAGACTAAAAATAAGGCATTTGAATCTAGCTAATATATAATATATCCGTTGTTAGAGCTGCGTGACATACCGCATAACTTACACACACAATTTAATTTTCATGCACAGTTTCAAAATTATAAATTAAAATTTCAACCTTTCATTCTTCCACTAAAAAAGATAGTATATTGAAATGCAATATTTACACATTAATATATCGATGGCTTGAGCTAAAACGTTTGTGGGCAGTAAGTTTTATTATTGCATGTTGCGATTAAGTACATAAATATACAAAAGTTGAACTGAATCCTTGATGAAAGCAAGAAAAGAACGTGCATTGTATAAAATGCGAGTAGTCTGTCAGCCCTTGGCGCCGCCCCCCCGGCCGGCCGCCTCCCGCGCCATTGGTGCCGCCCGCTGCGACGCATACCCATAATCACCGCACCTACTGTATTATTTGATAACAACATGGCGCATTCTGTACATAGCCGCTGTCGGCCCGATTGTATTTGCATGCAAAAATGTACAATCACTCACAGGCGACTTTAAAATAAGACTTATAGTCTTTATTAAAGTTGACTGGGTATCTACACTCGATTTATTGGTTGTTTTTTCTATGCACTTTTATGTGTTGTTGCTTAAGATTTATTTTAGAGCTCTTACTCCTTCCTAGAGCATATTCTTATTATATAGATTGAATTTACTCTATAATAACTTTCGATTATTTTAGTACTAACTATAAATTTATTGAAATAGATAATCAACTGTTTACTGAAATATAAAATAAATGTTATGAAATTCATAATTACAAACCCTATCGTTAAATTTATTATTATTAAAAGTTAGAAATAAAAGGTACATCCCGAGATAACACAAAAAGTTTCTAGGATAGATAGAGATTGTGCTATTTGATAAAACAACAACTCAAAATAATATGCATAATTGTTCTTCGGTGGACTACAGCTTAGTTCATTTTTGAAGCTCAGTCTGCCCAATTCCTTACTCTTCCAATTTCAAATATTTTTATTGGTGGTAGGACCTCTTGTGAGTACGCATGGGTAGGTATCGCCACCCTGCGTATTTCTGCCGTGAAGCAGTAATGCATTTCGGTTTGAAGGGTGGGGCAGCCGTTGTTACTGTACTGAGACCTTATAACTAATATCTCAAGGTGGGTGGCGGCATTTACGTTATGGGCTATGGGCGTCTATGGGCTTCAGTAACCATTTAACACCAGGTGTGCTGTGAGCTCGTCCACTCATCTATGCTATAAAAAATAAATAAATAAAATCTTAATTTCATAGAGTCTAACTAATTTACTATTACATAATTACATACAACTACAGTTGATCTTAGTAGTAGTTAGGTACTTGACCTTTGTCATTCTAATACATCTTTATAATGAATAAATATCTATTAAAAGTTACACTTATTGCCCAACAGACCTTTTAGCTCGAAAGATTATTTGACACCGGGTCTGACCCGCTAGTAGCCGGGGCGCGTCCAGAATCACTCTGGTTCATACATTTTGTACCACGTCCCGCAAACTGCGTTTAGGTACTTGACCGATCATACATCGTCTTTAACGAGTTAAAGGTCTTAAGTGAGCAAACGTGTGTGTTATGCTACATGCATAAGTTATATGTACCTAACGCAGTAATGGCCACCTTTGGCGCGTCAGTGAGCGCTAGTTGTTAGATCGAGACCGTATCAGGGACAGTACAATGTGGCATCCCCCAGTCGGCGGCTCGGCGTCACGGCCAGTGCTGCACGAACTGCGGGTCGCGGAACACCACGCTGTGGAGACGAAACAACGATGGAGAGCCCGTGTGCAACGCGTGCGGACTTTACTACAAACTGCACGGAATCAATCGGTAAGTCATTAAGAGATATCATAGAAAATGTATCCATGTTAAGCTCGACTTCAACTCTGTGGCGGCGAGATCCTCTTAGCTCCTATGCAAATTCTCTTGAAAATCTAAACGAACAATGGAAAGACGCGTCCACTTCTTCCTTGAACTCTTTCATTTATTTGCAATGAAAAAATCGCACACGGTTGTCCAAAAAAGAGAGACCAGTGCCTCTTCATATTCATAATCGATGTTGCAAAGATTAGGTACACTCTAATCTTTGTTACTTTTTCTTGACTTTCCTACCTCTCTTACTGTTCGAACCGACAGGCTAAACAGAGGCGGTGAATAATTCTAATCAAGGAAAGTGGTGATGAAAATGTGGTGTAAAACAAACAAAATCAAAAAGTATTCGCAATTAAAGTACCTATCTATTAACATTACGTAAACCTGAATAAGCAAGCAAACAAAATATAATTAAACAAATATTTATCCTATAGTAATCATATTTATTGCCATGTAATGTTTTGTAATTATTCAGTCAGTTATTGACATCATTATTCATTATGCCTCGTGTACCTACCTGCCCACAGCCAACCGCAGGAAAACTATTCCATCCAAGTAAACACGATCAACAAACAACTTTAGTTTTAGATATTATTAGGTATAGGCCAGAATTTCTAATTTTCTGCCAAATAATTCATCTAATTGAGGTATAGAGACAAAAGAGTGCACGATCCACTTAGATTGAAGCCAAGATCTTTGCATTATCTATAACAGTACCTAAAACTGTAACACGACTTTTACGTGTTAAAAATAGGAAGAAAGCAGGACCAAGCCACGTGGGCACGCAATAAGATCCGTAATAAATTACATATTATGGATTTTTATTGTTACCCGTAAAGGAAATTGTTGGTTGTACGTGCGAACATAATATCCGGACATCCGTGAGCCGGATCCGCGCGTTGTTGGGACGCGGACCTTTAATGAAGCAGAAGCGCTCCGTCCCCATCTACGAGTTATTCGTGTACTTAAGAATGTGGGTTCGAGCGTTGTTATTCGGAATTATTAATCGTACATCTCCAAGCTTATCTTGTAAATGTCGTTACCGAAGTTCAAGTGCCTACACATTCTATGATCGTTACCGCTACAGCTTGACCGTTCCAATCAAATTTGCTTGTTTACGCTTTACGATTAAAACTATAATGCATTACAGACCTCTGGCCATGAGGAAGGACGGTATACAAACCAGGAAACGGAAACCCAAAAAGCCAGCTAACGGCGCGAAACCAAATGGTGAAACTCCCAAAAAAGATGGACACAGCTCTCCTGCGATAGATGGTAATCTTGTGCTTTTAATTGGACTATAAACTGTTGCAGGTTCACTATTGAAAATGAAACGAATATAAAATTTTAATACCGATAATTTTGATGTCGAAATGGGTCTGTATGTTTTCCAACTGTTATCTTTGTATATTTTCTGCATAATTGTATTATCTTCGATTTATTTTACGAAAGTTTATTTGTCGACAAAGTGCTCGTTACATATTAAGTACCGACTAGTTTTTTTGCTACCTGTATCATTAGATATATATTTGTCTATTTCTTTAATACATAAAAATGTATTTTGACGTTCCATAACAGACAGCAAGTCGAGTAGTATATCCGAGGCGGCGCTCCCCCTGTCGGTGGGGGCGGCGGGGGGCGCGGGTCCCGCGGGGGTACACAAGCCGGACGCGTCTCCACAGCAGCACCATCACCACCACGTTCAGGTATACATCTTAAAATATCTTACTAGCACAATAAACCGAAGGACAAAAAGCGTTTCCAGGACAACTAGGTACGAATACACCACCCCGGTCACTTTGTCACTACGTTCTTGCTCCTAACAATTTCCACGGCCTTAATAACAAGCCACGCCGAGGCATTGCCGCGGTTGAGGGAGATTGAAACTTACACGACGCAAAGTGTCGCCATGTTTTTGAGTAAACGGTAGGTAACTTCGAGGGACTCGCGTAACGAACCATTTAACTACAGCTACTTGCTACTACAGTTAGGCTAATTCCAGGTCTATTCAAATCAATTTTTAAAATATCACCGCACTGCTGTGACTAGGAATCGCCTAAAAATCTTATGTAGCTTGTCGTATTCTACTGAAACATCATCATCGTCGGCATTTTATTAAGTATCATTTTTTCACAATGATTTTTCGAACCTATTTCTAGCTTCTACACAGTCGCGACCGATAGACGCCTGCTATTGTTTGACTCCAACTTATAAATTACAATATTCGACTGATATAAATAAGCACTTGTTAATCTCAAATAATTGTTAGATAAATTCAGTCTCGAAACTCGAATGTGGGTGATGTGATTGAGCATTAATTTATTGGTTTTATGTGTTTTATTACGGATCACACGTGACTATTTATAGTTTAAATGAAGTTTCGATAGTGTCCAAGCTAATTTAATAATTAAAACTAGGTACTTTTAGTTTAATCTTTGTGTTTTTACTATCGTTAATTATTTGCGACGTGACCACAACATCTGTGCAGTATTGGAAACGTCGGAAATAATATGTACAACGACAGTATCTAAACGATGCGATATTCCGGCAACGTATTGACATGATGATGTGTAAGATTAATTTGACTACATTCCAGGGTCACAGCCAGGGTCAGTACCCGCTGGGTCTGTCGTCTCCCTCGTTCCTGTCGAGTCCGTCGCTGTTCAACATAAAGAGCGAGCCGGCGCCGCCGCCCTACGACGCCTACCCGCCGCCCGCCAACCACTATCACTCCCAGCAACACTATCTACACGCATTACAGGTACGTACTTCAATATCTTATCACTTAATTTTTTTTTATCTCGCGCTTATTCGAATCGCTTGGACTGAAACTTTGCAAGTATTATGGCTGGCACTTCCATACATTTTTGCGCAGTAGGTACCTACCTACTGTGAATGTAAAATAGATGAGTCGCGAGTAGATTCAACAAAGGGCTTCATTCAAATAACAGTAACTAGCTAATTACAATTGATATAGGTATGATATATATCTATACTAATATAGGTACAATACTATAATATACGATTCATTTGGAACTTATGCCTAGTAGTTATTTGCAGTAGTGAAACAAATTGTTATGAAAATAAGTCCTCCTTTTTTGCCCTACATATGCTGATAGTCTTGAGAGGCTATATCAACGTTACCCTAGCGTGTAGGTGAGCTCTCGGGGATCAAGCTGAAGGTGTTGCTAACACTGGCCCTAGCAAGAGCAGTGCTACGCAGAATCTACCACCGGATCGGAAACGCGACTCATTGAGAAGATCCGGCGAGAAGCTCGGTGGGCTGTCTATGGGTTAATTTACTCGCCGAACCCTTCGTCACAAGCGATGGATTCGGCGAGGACGGTGACCGGTGCCTAAGGTGTCTAAAAGCGTTGTTAATGGGTCGGGAACATCCGTAATGACGTTTTTTTTATTGCTCGGATGTGTAGACGAGCTCACAGCCCACCTGGTGTTAAGTGGTTACTGGAGCCCATAGACATCCACAACGTAAATGCGCCACCCACCTGTAGATATACCTACGTTCTAAGGTCTCAAGTACCTATAGTTACAATGGCTGCCCTAGAAGTAAATCCTGAACATTTGTTGAGTACCTACGTATTTCATTAGAAAAATTGGTACCCGCCTGAGATTCGAACACCGGTGCATCGCTCAACACGAATGCACCGGACGTCTTATCCGTTAGGCCACGACGACTTCAAATTTAGAGCGTATTTAGAGCGACGTCGACTATTTACCATTCGGTCCACAGGACCCAGTATGTAATTTCCGGCGGCCACGACAAGAAGGTTTTCGTGTCGTGCCGCCTTCTCAAATTGATGACGACTGAATATACTTACTGATTGAGTTAAGCTCCAGGTCATCATGGAGCTGCGCATTCTTTAAGAGCTACGGTGCTCCGACGGTTATGCTGCAAAAACGGGATTGAATGACTTGAAGGGGTTTCAAGTTGGTGCGGGCCGCGTGAGCGAACACTACACTAGCATAGGTCATGACGGGGCGTATCCAGGTTTTGTAGTGTCACCTTATTACGAAAGGACAATTTACTTCGTGTGCAAATCATGGGAATAAGTCGCCAAAAAAACAGTCATTTAAATATTGAACGGCACCGTCGTCCGGTACCCGCGTGCACAGATTTTTTTCTTTTTTTTATAGCCTTTGTAGGCAGACGAGCATACGGCCCACCTAATGGTAAGTGATCACCGTCGCTCATGGACGTCAGCAATACCAGGGGCAGAGCCAAGCCGCTGCCTACCATAAAGTGCTCTCCGCAAGCCTCGTTTGAAGAAGGACATGTCATAGCGCTCGGAAAACACCGTGGAGGGGAGCTCATTCCAAAGCCGGATGGTACATGGCAATGCTGGATATACTGGACATGTGTCGACTGTTCGGTGTTGTAAGAGATCGAAACGTGAACTAAGAAAGTTAATGGAGCAGTAAGGGAACTCAGCTCGTGATCCGTCAGCTGGTCCACAAAGAGCACAGATCTTTTCGACAAAATATAATTTTCAAAACTTTAGCCACTTGTTGTCTATATACTTTTTATAATCGTTATGCCCTTTCTTCATCGAACTATGCAGGCAGGCAGGTACCAATCGTTGTAATGAAATACGTAGTTAAGCCATGTTCACGAACGACTTCCACGATAAAGGAATACTGTCGTGTCGTCTCGTGTAGCTTTAGATAGAAATCAAACCTGCAGAAATTATATATTTGCGTTATTACTCGTAGCGGAGCGTAGTAGAAGACGGCGGCATTAACTTTCAATTTATCACTCTACAATTAAGTGGTAAAAATAATACTTAGTGTATTTTTCTTTTTCAGTACGGTCTGGGAAACAATGAAGAAGAGGAAGGGAGTGGGTTTCTGCATCAGCGCAACGTGACAGCTCACGCCAAGCTCATGGCTTCCACGTAACGAGAGGTCGTCGGCCTGTGTGGCGCCGCACGCTCGCGTCGGATGCACTCTCAACCGATCGAACGTAATCATGGACTAGCGTCGAATCTCTATAATAACTGAAAGTAGCTTAACGTGGCGACCACCAACCCACACATTGCACACAGCCATCAATGGATTGCCTGTATGCGCGGTTGGCGTGATAACCACACAGAATCAGATCTTTAAAATGTTCCACGGAAAATAATAGGATATGCTAATACTAGCACTCAAAACCAGATACCTGTGTAATCCACTGTGTAGAGCCACAGAGTGGATTACTGATGCACTCTAGACTATTATTGAACAAATTAATGACAAGATGGTCTCAATGTCGACGAAGTTAAAAATATTGTTTTATAAATTAGTTTTTTTCGTAGACTTCCAAGTTATTTTAAATGCTGGTTTATAGAAGGAATGTAAATATTGAATGTATAAACCCTCGTTGTATTATATTCTAGTGGAATACACTTAGGTTAATTAAGTTCATAAGGGACAAGACGTCAATTTAATGATATATGTAAACAATCCCGTACAATTTTCCTATTCACTTTTTACCTACTGACTCTGTATTCAATAGAACCGCGATGTTCTTATATTCGGTATAATTCGTGGATATATTTTAAAACGCACCAACCTACACTATAGATTAGATATTTTGATTTATTTCGTCATTTATTATCAACACTAGTCGTGTGACTGTAGGTTAGATCTCGTTGTTTGTGAGATGTACAATAATACGCGGTAAATGTGTAAATACAATTAGAGTAGCACGTAATATTATAGATGGTAAGTATGACCAGTATTCACATTACGCTACCTATTACCTAATCTGTAATATTTTACTGAATGTTATCGCAGTTATTATTATTTTACTAGATAGAAGTATAATTAAATCTTATTGGATAATATTAATTGCGATTATTTCGACATCGCATAGCAAAATATGATATGTCTTGTGTGAAATCGGCACTTAACTGAACACTAGATCGATTAACTCCACTACTTACAGATAGTTCCTAACTTTCCATGACTTTACTTCTCTTATACTGAGACACGTAGGTACTATTGTAAAACATTTAATTGTAACTCCATATGCTTAGGTAGTTTAACGCATTTGTTTAATTGCAAAATGAATAGAATCCATGGAAATCCATCAACAAACACATCACAATGAACAAAAAATACGTATTAGTAATTAGATGTTACTATACATATTTTATTAAAGCCAGCTATGTACATAGAATATATATAGATACGTGATATACATACATAGAAGCAGACCTAATTTTAGAACAGAACAAAGTACAAACAATATTCATTTAGAATCAAGAATCAAATGATTTGTCGCTAACAATCATCGACTAACAATAATCAAATTTTGTTTCAAGTACCAAGTAACCTAATATTATACAATCACAATCAACACATAGCACTTTCATGACATGCATCATCTTCAGACCCAAAATCAAATTAATTCGGTGTTGTAATATAAAGCACATACTTTGTCCCCGTCTATCGCAAACATCTGAACGTCACTGCCACTACTTGTTGTTAGATGCGCGCATCAACGGCATAGTTAGGCGTTAGGGCATACAATGTTTTCAATGGGTCACGATTCCGATCCGGTGGTAGATTCTGCGAAGCACTACTCTTGCTAGGGCTAGTGTTAGCAAATTCTCTCAGGTCGAGCCCGTGAGTTCACCTACACGGCCGCGCGTTGCTGGAATAGCCTCTTAGGGTACCAGCGAATAGGTGGGGAAATAAGTATACAATGTGTAGCATCGGCGGTTTAATGTACTTGTAATATTATACGTGCACCTACCTGGGCACTTTATTTCGGAGTAAAATGGCCGCACATATACATATTATTGTTAAACATTTATAATAAAATGAACGTAAATTTATATTAGATCTTATTATTATAATATTTTTGAGCCCTGTCCGTTTTTTTCGCATATTGGGGCGTAGTTTAGCAGAAATAATTCAGTTCTTGAAGTCAATAACAAATTCTTGTAGGACGCCAAGCTTCAACTATAAATCTTTGTTCAGAACAATAAGGTTAAAATCATTTGAGACAAACTAATTCTCTAAGCTCAATATTTTTTGGAATGGAAATAACCGTTTTTGTATAACAGATTTAGGTGTAAATGTGTCGTCGTAAGCCGTCTGACATTTCATAATGAAACTCTACGATAACGTAACATTAACAATCCAGGATAACCTAATACAATTTCATGTAATGCGATGACTTTGTTTTGGTCCCTTCTCTTGATTGAGCAAGTGTATTAGCAAGTATCAAAATGTTCTTACAAAAGGTTTGACAGGATAATGTTAATATTTTTCTAAAGAGGTTCCCACACACAGAAGTGCCTCTTAACAGCTGCATTGAGTTAGTGGGTGCGACCTTCCTACTGATCTACGTCCAATTTTGAAGTATTCATTTTGTATTTAGTTTTAATTTTGATTGTCAGTTAAATGAGGCAATAACGTGAGTTAGTGAATATACTTTAGGAACACGGCATTTATAGATAAGATGTAAATAGTTTAGAATAGTCTTATAGAGAATATACAGATAAGAGTATTTCAGAAATATTGCACATAAATTATCACAATATCATACGAGGGTATAGTGAGGCTCAAAGGATTCGCAACTGTAATATTAAAATGTCTATCTCATAAACTGCCGAGTTTGGAGGAAACACAATGTTATTTTGGAGGAAATGAATAAGAATAAAAACAACACAAATGTACAAAACGATTTATGGTGTAAACTTAATAAATAAAAAGAAAATCAGCACATAGAACTATTTTCTTGTAACCCTATCGAATTTTATTTTAATGGTTCCGCGACCAGGTAACTGAATGTATGGAGTATGTGAGGATGTCTTCCCGTGTGTCAAAGATCGAACCGCAGGCACTTGATAGACGGAGTCTGGGTCGGTTGGTACAGCGTGTACTGTCAGGGTGCCGCGGCCGCTGCCAGCGGAGGAACCACATAGGACCAATAAGTGATGTCATCGGCACCGCGCAGGCGAATGTAATAGTACAATAATTTCATGGTGTATATCTTCAAATGGTTTTTAGGTTTTTAAATAACTTTAAATCTACGTGATCAAGAACATTTACCTAGCCATCTTTGGCAAAGTCACGTAATGCATCTCCCGTAAGCCTGTAGTAGCACCACTGCTCCTTGTTAGTTAGATTTACCGCACCTTTGCTCTCGTAAAACGAACAAGCAGGATTCCACTCCAGGACGTGGAAGTCCAAGCGGCAGCAGCCCGTCGCTGACGCTTCCTGGAACATGACTCTACTAAGGATCGGCGGTGCGTGGGCTCCCGCGACCACTCAGCACCAGAGCACCCGCGCTAACAAAGATTTATAACTTCTCGACGTCAGCCAGCAGTCATTACAACATTTGTGTGTCGGCCGTGCGCGCCGCTACTCCCAATGCATTTGACGGTCGTCCACACTGCGCGCTACATATCGAGGGCTAAGGATATTTGGTTTACGCGACATTTTTGCAACATTACAAGAGAGTCATTTAAAGTTTAAAAATTGGAAAAAATATCCAAAAAAAATTTCATCAACTATTTTAATGGGGTAAACATAATATTGAAGTTCAATTAAAAGCATTGAGTTGTTGACACCTACTAAGAGCAAATAAAACGGACCTATAATTACAGATAAATGTCGCGTATTAAGCGACATGTCGGTTAAACCAAATAGCCTTCGTTATGATGGCGGGTCGACGTGGAGGTGAATTTTTTTCAACTAAGAGCTTGCTTAACTTAAATTATTCATACTTAGATGAGCAAACGAATAATGTTCTCTGTTAGTGTGTGCAGCGTGCTCACATATGCTGTGTGTGTTGCATGAGTGTATGTGCATGTGCATGTGCGAGTCGGTATTGCCTAATTGACCAAATACCTTTGCAACTGCATCGAAAAGCAATCTACCAACACCTCTGCGCCGCTCGTTCATTCTCACGTACAGATCCTCCAGCATTAGCGCACGTCCCTCCCACGTGGAATACACAGGAAAGTAAATAGCATAACCTAAGATATTTTCGTTGTGTTTTTCTGCAACTTTGCAGAAGAACACAGGTGGTTGTTTTTCAAAACCGTCATGCACCAAATCTGTAATTTAAGAAGCATAAAACACTGAATAAAGTTTTATGCCGGTACGTATAACGCATTTGACGTCTGATAGAAAAATCAAATATCAAAACAATTGGAAGCCCTCTCAAGTTTTGGCAACATTTCTTAATGATTCTAGAGGAAAACCTCAGTATTCTGTATCGAGTGTCCTAATGACCCCAAGAAAGAAGAGTCCAGAAAATTCTCAAATGTTCGAATTTTATCGAGAGTATTCTAATAATCCCAAAAATGTTCTCGACATAGGCAAAGCTAGAAAATGATCAAATGTTCTAGTTCTGTCGGAAATGTTCTGGAAAATGGCATACATAGTGAACATTAATAGTTCTATTTGAAACAATACAACAATTGGGTTACCAAAAGAAAACAAAGAAGTGAAATGGGATAGTAAAGTACACCTGAAATATCATAATAATGAAATTCACTTTTAATTAGTATTTCAGTAAAAAGATTTTTTTTTTATTTAGCCCTATAACATAACAATAATGATCATGATTCAGAATTTCAACAGCAAATGTAGTAGCAAACTTCACAAGACATTTATGGTAAGTACTGTCCTATCTCACAGCCAAGGACCCAAGCAACAACCACTTAAATTCAAAAAAGGTGCAGGCAATGGGTTCTCATTGATTGGAAGGGTTCCAAATAATGAGCTCTTTATTGGCTTGGGTGACAGATAAGCAAGCCCAAGTGATAGTGAGTGGTTGAAGTCTCTCATGGGCATGAGAAGTGCAGGAGCAAAATTCAGTCATTTCAAACTTGAACAATGAAATTTAGTTTAAATTAAACCCTTTGAAGACACAGGTATGTTACATACATACTATGGTCAATGTTATTTGTATATTTGTCTTTCTAAGACACGTTATCATAGTAATCAAGATACACACAATGATGAATGGGGCTTCCTAAGACACATTGATCATTTCATAGGGTAGCAGTATCATAAAGTATCTTCTGTGTAAATTTTTGATTATATAGATTGATGGGTTTGAATATTTAAACTGATTTAAATTGATTTAAAGGTTCTTCGATTCAGGACTCATCACAACTCTGCACCAAAGCAATAAAATATTTTTTTATGATTTCAACAAAAATATTCATTAATTTACCTTTAATGGATAATTTTGGACCATCAGACATTTTCTCGTAATCTGCTAATTCCTGCAATAATCTCATGAATTTAATCATGTAAAAATTATTTTTTACAATGACAACAACTGAGAAATCTTTTTTTGAGAGACAGCAAGAAATAATTTATGTCTGGAGCCAATGCCTCAAAACAAGCCTCAATATACAAAATAATATTTTATCATTGTTTAATGTCATTGTTTCTGTTGTTATTTAATGACAAAAGAAATGTTTACTAATATCCTTCTTCTTATTGATACTTCTTTCTAATAGGTCGGACAAAATTTGTTTCAATTCGAGGACTGAAGAATTCAATTGGTTCTCAGTTGTAATGTATTTTATATACTTATGCAACCGTGCTCAGGATGAGATTTTTTAATAATGTTAATTATAAGTTATTTGACAATATTTTGAAGTCGTCACTCAATATGAAAAAAAAGTAAACTACGCTTCTGGTTGAAGACTTATTGTATGACAAAGAAGCATCGAAAAGAACACAACAGACTTGGATTTTATTTCTTTGGATACTTTTTAAGCACAAAAAGCCGAACATATAACTCGTATTCCATGTAGTTCCATACAATAAAATTAATGTAATGCAAGAAACAAATAGTTTTGTAACTTTTCATTTTCAGCTTTAGGGCTTGGCTACTGAAAAACTTATAATACCTGTATCATTTCAGCGACTGCACTCATATCATGTTTAGTTGCTGCACGGACTATAACTTCACCGCTTTTATATTTGTTAGACATTTCAGGTGCTTTCCTATATACAGCCTAATATGAAAGACCTAGCGGTGTGTAAACTAAGAGTGAACAGTATACAATCCGAAGTATATATGTAGTTGCTGTGAATTTATAATTAATCTTGAGTGCGTAACTCAAAACACATTTAATTACACAATTTACATTTTTTAAGAGATTTTATGACCTAGTGACTGATACCTTTAAGTCATGTCTTATTTTAATTTATATTATTCATATTTTATGAAAAATGATATTATGGAGTGAAATGAAATGAAATGAATTGAGATGATATGGGATGAAATATAATCTCAGTAAAATGGTGGTCATTTACTAAGATTTTTTCAGTGGACTTTTTGGAGGATCCCGAGAAGTTACGTCCAGCGGCATTGTTTCATTTTCCCACATTTGTGCACTTTCACAGATATTAAACAGTTAATAAACCACCATTATTACACATTTAAACCCGAAGAAACACTAAATAGACAAAATAAAACAAATCACTCAACTTCATTCCTCGCGTTCCCGCCAAAAAGTCCTTACAACTTACATTTTTTTAAAGGGATTTTATGACCTGGTAAGTAAGACCTTTAAGTCATGCCTTTTTTTAATTTATATCCTTATTTTTATGAAAAATTATAATATGGAGTGAATTGAAATGAAGATGATTACTTTGAGACATTAATCAACTGGGATGAAATTAAATGAAATGAGATGAGATGTAATATAATCTCAGTAAAATGGTGGCCATTTACTTATTTATTTAATAATACTCGTACATAAAGTCACTGCGATTAGGAGGATAGACTTGTTAAATAAAATGCAAATAATGAATAACTAATATTTTAATACAACTGAATATCATACAAGTTTTATATAAACAATAATTTGTGTACTTCTGTCTGTTTCTCTCTCTCTCTCTCTTTCTCTCAACATATATATATTTATTACATTACATTTTAGTAAGAGCGGTTTCACATGACATCGGATTTAAGAGCAATTAAAAAAAACTATAAGTTAAGTACATTAAAAGAATGTCGGAACGTATACTTTTCGTCAGAAACACAAGGCCGGATCTATTCTGTCAAAATCGCTTTGCAGTTCCGGTGTTGTCTTTTTTGTCTTTTTTCCGGGGTCTCGACGTCTACTCTTTCTCGAATTTAGCATTCTCACATTTTTTCTGGTAAAATGTAGGTACTTTAAATAACACTACTGTCGTAAATTATTGTGCATACCGACCACTTAGTGAATCACTACGTTAATGACCACTCAAACGAAAATCCCAGACGAAAATCGGTTTTGATATAATACAAATAAAAAAAATCACAATTAAGACTTACACAAGTCACTCTGCACTTATCTATCGCTCAATTGCTTATTTATAAAACAGTAAGTATTAGGTATTTATTTAGTGAATGACTTTTTTTTTAATTGTCAACGCATTGATTATGGCCAGTAGGGATGCGTGCTTTTAATTGTTTTGTGTAGTATCACTCCCAGGTTTCATGAGGATAATATCGATGTTCGAACATGTTCATTGCCGTTTACGTCCTACCGCACGCCGGCTGTGAGCTGGCAGTTCACGATCCTAAGTTTGACAAAGCGTTATCCTGAGGTCGGAGGGTCTGACGGCCTCCCTCCATGAGTTTCGTCCTCACAATGTTGACAAAGCGTAGAGTATATTTAAACGAGTCTCCCCCACCTTATCTCTGGATATGTACAATTTATCTTTATCAGTTGAATATGTTCAATCTAAAACATCAAATCGTGGACATTGGACGTTGTGAAGATTGCCACTATGTTATGTGTCCGAGAGGGCTTCCCTAATCGTTAATGCATTTACGGTTTTTGTTGTGGCTTTTCACCTGTGATTCTGGAAGACTCATTTTAGTTGCAATTCATTATTATTCATACTGTTTACATTTTACAGCTAACTCTATTATATTGTGCAAAAATAAATAACGGAACTAAATGTATTTATTGTCCATTCGAAAAAAGGTTGTTTGACATATGTTCCGCTCGAGCGACGCGCCCGCACTGGCCACACACACATGCACTTAGGCCTTTAACACGTAAGAGAAACGTAGAGTATTTAGTACAAAAATAGGATTCACATTAAAAATCCTTAATTAATTACATACATTTAAAACATTTATCTAGTTATTTTATATTACAAGTTAGAGTAGTTCATCTACACGTACCACGTTCGTGAAGCGTGACGTCCGTGCCTGAGAACGTTAGGTGCTGTCATGACAATGTGACATGAACATTGACAGTGACAGCTGCCGCTCGATCTACTCGCTGACGGTCACCGCTTAAGTAAAAACAAGTCAAATGGCTTACGGTCCGAAACGACAGTGTCGCCCAAAAGAATCGAATTTACCTAAATTGATTGTACACGTTTTAACTAATAAATAAACTAAAATTTTATTAATATATACAAAAACATAGATTTTAAGTGTTTTTTTATATACCTAATTATCTACATATAAGTATATTGCTTCATAAAATTCAATCTGTTTTGATTGATTAAAATTTGTTTTTGTTTTTAAACTCTGCGAAATTATATAAGAATATTAGTCATTGTTAGTCATGTTGTTGCCGCCTGTCCACCCCGGAGCCCGGGACCGGCTGGCGGGGGGCGGGGGCGTGAGTCCGGCTCGGGGCGGGGGGAGGGGGTATGTCTCCACGAAGGGAGAGTGCTGCTATCTCGGAGTGACCGATTAAAATTTTTCTTATATTTCTGGTAGTGCCTGTGCATTCTTTTTTCATGTTTTCACTAAGCTTTGGTACCATACCAGTTAATTTGTCATGACGCCACACAAATCATTGTCGAACAGTGACTTGTTACTCTCTGTTACACAAATATAATATAGTTGATTAATTAATATGTAGATTGAATAATATTGGTGGATTAAAAAAAATTAATTTTATTAATGTTTAGTAAGCCCGCTCTAATAAATAATATTTATGATGACACAATTGTACTGCCACGTTATGAAATCTGAGTAAGTATTTATTGATATGAAGCTTCTTTGAGCGCGACACAGTTGAATGTGAAGGTCACGATTTAAAACCGAAGCTTTTCTATTGCAAAAGGGACGGAAGATCTCTCTCGCTCTCTCCCCTCCCCAGCACGGCCGAGCCGACTGTTGTAAAGAAATGTTGAACTCAGGGAAATAACGAACACAGCGACGCACGGCGAGGGTCGGGGGCGGTGCGCGGGGGGCGCGGCGGGGGTCAGTGCGGGAAGTCGGGCCGGATGCCGAACTCCGCGGCGTACGCGCCCGACCACGTCGCCGCCGCCAGCAGGGCCGGCGAGGGGGCCGCCAGGGGGGCAGGGGTGGCGCCGCGCGACTGCGGGCTGCGCTCCTCCTTGCTCTCCGGGTCTGTCGGAGGGTCAGGGCGCCGGTCAACGGGCGTCGCCAGCATCCGACACGTCACAGTCAACACATTTGCTTATACGTTACAGGCACGAGAAAGTGGATCTTTAAGTTTTACGAACCGCTTCTTGAAAGTATCGAAGTCACTTGCGCTGCTGATGTACATACGTGGACATACTCATGTGACATCGTGATACTCGTGGACATATCATTTATGTTAGACATAACTGCTTGATTTTAAGATTGATTATTATATTATGCACAGGGCTCACGGTGAGCCAGCACGAGTCGATCCCACCGCCCTGCTCATGTCTCCTACGAAACGGCCATACGTTCTGAGACTTCGACCGCGGGCCAAGACGGCGCTATTCTAGTCGTGATGTCTATGGACTCCACTGACCGCCTTACAACGGATGTGCCGTCAGCTGGTTCACATATTTACTCGTTAAATATAGAGTTAATAATAATATTGCGTGTCACCGTTGCTGTCCGGCGGGGCGGCGCGCTTGCCGAGCGCCTGCGCCTTCAGCATCTTGCTCATGGTGTTCCGCGGCGTGGGCGGCGGCCGCTCCAGCGTGCGCCCGTGCGCCGCCGGCATGTGCCGCTCCAGCATGTACCTGCGCGCGCGCACGCTACACCCTCCGCCCCGCGCCGCCGCCGGGCGGGGCGGACCCTCCATGAGGGGTGTTATAAATAAAATACCCTTTTGATTTTGATTGAAATTCTGTTATACGAATGAAGAAATCTTCGTAGATTATAGTCACAAGTGCCGATAGCGCACGTCGCACGAAAGCAAACGGTTCCCAATGTTCGAACTTAACCCACTCCTCCCAAAACGTTAATGAAGATATATAGTTGTGGTCAATAGTTAGGATCGATTTGATGTTCCAGAATACCACGTCCCAGGGTATATATACATTTTTGAGACAAGGACTCAACTTTTTTTTTTAAACTCCTGATGACATAATTACTTTCAATTACGATGACGTTATCAATTAGTTCGTAAAATATAACTACAGTGAATATTTAAAACAGTTCCTTAAATAAGTCTATTGCAACTTTTTTACTGGTTGCACATTATAATAATATATATAGAATGCGCACGTACCGTCTCTCGTATCTCTCGGGACAGAAGTGGCAGCGGAAGAGGCGGCGGCGCTCGGGGCGCGGCGGCTCGGCGGCGCGGGCCTCGGGCCCGTGGTGCGATTTGGCGTGCGCCATGAGGTTGTACCTGCGAGAGACACGCGGGCGTGAGCGCGGCGCGGCGGTACGGGGCGGGGCGGGGCGCGGCGGGGCGGGGCGGCACTCACCTCTCCGAGAAGCGCTTCCCGCAGAGCGCGCACTCGTGGCGCTTCTCGCCGCTGTGCACGCGCTTGTGTCGCTTGAGGTGCGAGCGCGTCATGAGCGCCAGCCCGCACACGTCGCACGAGTGCGGCTTCACGCCGGAGTGCGAGAGCTTGTGCATCTTGAACGACGACGTGTGGATGAAGGACTTGCCGCACAGGTCGCACTGCAACGCACACCGGACGGACTAGTGTCGGACAACGTTGTCGCGTGCCCCACGTCTGGCCACCGTTACTCACCTGATAGTTGAGCTTCCCCGTGTGGATGTTGTTATGCCTCTGGAGTGCATTCTTTGAAGGAAACAGTTTATTGCACTCTTCACATTTCCAATCGCTTATACCTGATGTAATAAAAATCTAATAAATTCTAATGCTCATGTTTGTTCGTCTTGTGGGATGGGATGTATACACCTATTAGAACATAGTTTATCTGGATGACATTCTTTCTATTCTTGTTCTTGACCAATTAGGAGAGGTGATAAATCTGGATAAAGGTAAGGATAACTCGTCTACAAGTGAGTGAGTGCGTGCGATTTGCGTGCGTGTAATTAATAAACTTAAAAACTACAGGAGCTACTTTAAAAACGCTTTCACGGTAGAATTCTTCATTACCACTGAGTAACTTATATTAGACTAGCCTTTGATTATTATTTTTTATTGCCTTTGTATGCAGACGAGCATACGGCCCATCTGATGGTGAGTGGTTACCGTCGCCCATGGACTTCAGCAATGCCAGGGGCAGAGCCAAGCCGCTGCCTACCGCTTAATACTCACAAGCCTCGTTTGAAGAAGGACATGTCATAGCGATCGGGAAACACCGTGGAGGGGAGCTCATTCCATAGCCGGATGGTACGTGGCAAAGATCTCTGGAAACGCACTGTGGATGACCGCAGTGGCTCCTGGTAGTATGGATGAACTTTACTCCGATGGCGGGCGGTGCGATGGTAAAAACGAGACGTTGGTATCATCTCGAACAATTCCTCAGAGCACTCCCCATGGAACATACGGTACAAAATACCGCAAGGAAACCGCAGTCCCTCCGCAGACCCAGAGGTTCCAAACGATTCGAGAGAATGGGATTATCGACAATCCGAACGGCCCTCCTCTGTATGGAGTCAAATGGAAGAAACTGGTATTTGGGAGCCCCGGCCCAGAGATGGGAGCAGTACTCCATGCGAGGCCGGACTTGTGCTTTATAAAGCAAAAGTCTTTATCCAGGCGTGAAGTACCGCTTCGCTCTGTTGAGGACTCCCAGCATTTTGGACGCCAACTTGGCTTTGCCTTCCAAATGACTCCGAAACTGGACATCGCTCGAAATGTCGACCCCAAGTATCCCGATACTCTCGGAAGGTTGCATGGATACTCCTTGGAATTGCGGCGCCATGACAAAGGGGTCCTTCTTCGCAGTGAACGCGCAAACTTGTGTCTTTATCGGGTTGAATTGAACCAAGTTCAATTCACCCCATTCGGAGACTCGCCCCAGAGAGTTCTCCACTTCAGACACAAGTTTCGATCGTTTCTCTTTTGTCCGCAACTTCGTCCACGTGGAATTGTTACTTTGGGATAACGCTAAATTTTACCCGCGACGTCATTTACGTAGAAGGTGAAAATTTTGAATAATAGAATGTTAAGGAGCTATTTAAAGTACCAAAATCACGCTTTTTGACCGACCTCAAAAGAGGAGGTCATTAATTCAACCACCAGTCTTTTATCTATGTATGTTTATCGTTTTCTCGAGAATGCTTGAACCGATTCTGATAATTGTTTTTTTTTTTGTTCGGAAGGATAGACTTCCCGAATGGTCATCTAATCATCAGGATCAAGATCTGACGATGGGATCCTAGAGAAATCAAAAAAAATCGATCTTGAAGTGATTTGGGTGTTTCCTGTTATTCTTATTAATCTGTGCCGCGCGCCCCGGCCAGCTGGCGCCTCGTATTATGCGCTTGATCATAATGTTGCTGCGATGTTATTTTAAAACTGTAATATCTTCTAAGAAACTCATTGAAATTATATGATGCAAAGGGCAAATTTCTTTCAAATTAAATACTTAGATGGTTATTGCAAAGTACGAGCGCGCGTGGCCTTTATTTGTAGTTGTAATCGCAAATACACATTTTCGTTAGTGTGTGTACTCGACGGAGCGGTCAGTAGACAGCTTTAGCTACATAGTCTCCATTGACGCGTATACAGATTGTCACTCACACAATTAAGGGCGGCGCGCACTCGTACTTTGCAACAACTATAATGAATAATGTATGTATTTGGATAGGGATTAATATCACCTTTATAAAAATACCTTCACAAATAATGCTTATTTTAGAACAAATTTGGTTAGCATAAAAACCGTTATAGTGAGCCAACCTTAAAATATAGACATGTGCTGTCACAGACTTTTTTTTAGAACTTTATAGGGTAAAAATTCTGTCATATATTATTTTAGCGAAACTTTAACTGCTTCCGCAGCGAACGCAGCGGAAGCTCTCAAGAGGGAAAAAACCCCGATTTTAAAACATTATTAGTGCTCCGCTCGTATTATTTATTATTTATTTATTAAGTTGCACCAACAAAGTGATCATCAATACAAAACATTGACAAATTGACAAAAGTTCATGGCTGATGTCACCTCAATTATAGGTGCAATCGACAGTGCATTAACATCAAAAATAAAAAAAATATACAGCTAAGATTTGAATACATTTCATTCATTGCTTATGATTAATTTAATTGGGAGATGATCCGCGACAGATTTTTCCTGTAAGTAGTGAGACAATCAGAAAAAACATCTATTTCACTTAAAATAAGTTCAGCGCAATCGGACGACTCCGAAGGAACATTGACGGAGACCGCGCTACCGTGGACATTATTGTAGTCCCAAAGGATTCTGTTTAAGGGAGAGTAAGCACCTAAATTCGAACGAGCGGGCTTTCTTATAAACGGTTTATATTTCTTCGTTCTTGGTAGGTACTTAGGGGCTGATATTTTTATCTGGGTTAATAGATTAGGTGTGTCGGTTATTCCATGAATTAATTTGTACAGAAATATACCCCCCATTAGTTTTCTCCGGTTTAGAAGAGAGTCTAAATTAAAGTGGCAAAGTCTATCTTCATAGCTGGGTAACTTCCTACCCAGATTGTAGTTGTAAGACAAGTACCATAGAAACCGTTTCTGGACACTTTCCAATCGTTTCTTGTATATTTCATAGTAAGGATTCCACACAATGCAGCAATATTCCAAGGTACTGCGTACGAGAGCATTATAAATTGTGATCTTAGTGTTTGGTTTTTTGAAATCTTTGCAATTGCGAAATATAAATCCCAATGTTTTAAAGCTCTTTCTGGTAATATTCTGAATATGTGTGCTGAATTGCAGCTTACTATCAATGGTCACACCCAGATCCCTAATAGAGTCTACCTCAGATAGTGGTGCACCATTAATATGATACGTTCGGGAAAATGAGCGTCTTTTTCTAGTAAAACGAATTACATAGCATTTACTGATATTCAGACTCATGCCATTCGCACTGCACCAGCCAAACAAACTGTCCAAATCCCTCTGCAATAATTCAGAGTCAAGAGATGAGTTTACTTTCCTGAAGAATTTTAAGTCGTCGGCGAACATATAGAACTTTGTGCTACGAAAACACGAGCCAATGTCGTTGATGAATGCATTTATTTGTCCCCATATCCCTATGTATGCTTAAATCTTTAAAACTACGCAAAGGATTTTGATGCGGTTTTTTTTAATAGATGGAGTGATTGAAGAGGAAGGTTTATATTATGTATAATAACATCCATTAAATAGTGGAGAAATCAATAATAAATTACAGGGCGGGTCGTTAGTTCTCAATAAATGGGCTATCTAACACTGAATGAATTTTTCAAATGGGACCTGTAGTTTCTGAGATTAGCGCATTCAAACAAACGAACAAACTCTTAAACTTTATAATATTAGTATAGACTAGTATTTTAAACTTTCTAAAATATTAAAAGATTTTGACTTCATCTGGAAAATCACTATGCAAGGTGTAAATTCTTAGTCGTAATAGCGTTTTTTTCAAGCAGGGTGTTGATTGATTGATATCCAATTCTATTATTATATCAGATATAGTACCGGATATGGCAACAGGCAGACACAAAAACAACTGTAAGAATGAGTGTCTACATTAGTTTAGTTTGGGCACAGTGATGTCTCGAGCGGTCCTGTGTACGTACCCTTGTGTAGAGCTATGTGTATGTCGCAGGCTCGCTTGTGTTTGTAGTGCGCGCCACATATCTCACAGATGTAAGGAGGCTTCGAACCTTCATGTTTAATTTGTTTGTGACGCTCCAAACGTACTGAAAACAAACATTTACCATATTTACTAAAATTTAAAGATAGTGTTCTGTTTACTTCTTTGAGTTGACTAATACACAATATATTAACACAAGAAACACGCTAATGAATTTATAATAGAAAAGTATTGCTTACAGTTTTGAGTCAATATGCAGCATTTTGACACATTTTAAAGAAGACCGAAGGCAGAAAAATATAAGTAATCAGACGGAAGAAAACTGGCAGTACTTACCTAAGGAAGTATACCTGTTAGTACACTGATCACACTGATGCATTACTTTCGTTTTTGTGTCTTTTAATACTTTCTTTTTCTTCCGTGTTGCTTTAGTTTTTTTCTTTTTTATTTTTTCATCTCCTTTACTAGATTCATCCAGATTACCAAGCGCCAAGAGGAGCGATTCCTTAAATGTGTATTTAAATGGACTTTCTGAACTGAAATGTAATACATTTAAATATAAAAATAGTGATTATGTTGATGTGAAATTGTATACAATTTAAAATATCCAAAAAATAAGCATTCTTTAGTTACTCATTACCAATTATGCTGTGAATTCAATAATGGCAATGTTAGGTTATTACATTTGTTATTGATTAAGAAGTAATAATGGTTGTTTAGAGTTTTAAGTAATCTGCACACTAGCTCTTTGAAGTCATCGTGGCCTAAAGGATAAAATGTTCTACCACGTTTGTTTATGTTGGAACCCTGCAGGCATGTCCCAATTTTTTTCTAATGAAATATGTACTGAACAAATGTTCATGATTAACTTCCACAGTGATGGAATAACATCATGTTATTAAAAATCAAATCCACAAAATTATAATTTGCATAAGTAATTACTGGTAGTAATGTAATGCTGGTAGTAAAGTAATGCGTTTCGGTTTGAATGCGTTTCGAGTTCGTTTCGGCATACAAATCTTTAATCTTTTCTCAAATCTTAAATCTTACATTTTCAATGGTCTATTAGTTGAGTGTTATACAGTTAATGATTTTGTTATAATCATATAGAATGTTTGTGGCAAAATATTTATGCCATATGCAAGCTATAAATAGCTATGCCAATAATTATAGAGGCATCCTTCTCCATACTCCATACTGCTACAACCTTTTGCTTTTTTTACCAAATATTAAAGTATAGGTTCAGACTTTTGTGAGGATATCCCAAGATTTCTTATAATTTATTTTGTTTTAACTAAAAAAAATATATGTTAAATAGATTATTCTAAAGCTTTCCCAGATACGAATTTAGATAGGCAACAGTTTTTGGTTGTGCCACTCACATTGTTGGTGTCCATGAACACTCATAATTAAGTGGGCAGTATTCCATCACCAAAAACCACATGAAAACAGTCTTACCCATCAGCTGAATCTTCAGTCTTGACATCATTAAAAGCTCCATTATTCCCTGAATTCATACCAGAGTGTACTGATAATCTGTGAGCTTCTTCAGCATTAGTACCACCTTTATCTCCAGTCTCACCGCATAATTCACATTTCCAGCTTAATAAATGTTTTAAAATATGTAGCACACAGGATTATCAAAAGTACACAAATAGAAACATAAAAGTAAAATTTTATTAATTTAGTTTTTATATGGTTGGTAGCAAACAGGTAGTATATAACATAGTATATAACAATTTTATCATTGATGTCATTAGCTTACAATAGTTCAAAGCTTTAATGAATTAAACAAATCATACCTTCCCTCAAATTTTTTGCTATTAGGTGTATGTTTAGCAGTTGTACAATTTTTCTTAACCTGGACTTTTCTTTTCCTCTTACACTTTACTAATGGCTCATCTTCAGAATCCTCTTCTAAATTATTAAAATGTACCGACACATCATCGTCATCATCATCATCATCATCATCTTCATCATCATTGTACTCAGCCTTTACAGTAGTTAATTTTAAAGGCACATTTGATGACACAAATAGAGGGTTTTTACTTATTATTGCTTCAAATGCCTCTTTTAGCTTAACATATTCTATTTCAGCCTGATCTAAAATGTTGATTAGGTCTAGGCAATTCTTGCAAACGTGTTTGGAGGACTTTACTGCGTCAGTGATATCCGTCTGAGTGAATTTAGCCAAGAATGTAAGAAGGCTCGTGCCCGACGCTGTCGTGTTTGTTGTGTATATATCATAGCAGTCCTGACTGCGAGTTACGCACACGAGACACTCACAAGGTTCCGGCTTCACTACAACCTCCTTCTTGATGCCCACGTCCACGGACGAGGAATTAAAATGCTCCACTTCCATCAGAGAGTTCATTGCACTTTTTTCGGCCATTGCAATATTCCGACATCAACGCATTCAGAATCGAATGAATATCCCGACCGATATTTAGATACATTTAGTCGTCGATTCTACTTAATTGCAATATTGAGATTGTTTTTTTTATTATTGCTTATTGGAGACATCAACTTTTGTTAAATTTATGACTTCGAAGAATGATATAAATCTGGTGTCATGTGTCAATGGTATGAAATGTCAAATTTATATGTTTTGGGAATAGAGGCTAACGCCTAAAAGTAAAAAATAGTATACAGCCGAAAAAGTCAACACAAAACTGCCTAATTTTTTTCTATATCACTTCAATTATTTAATCACCTCAAATTTAAAGAAGGAAAGGTTCTCGATTCGGTGTTTACATTTTCCTAATTATTTCTGTTTATCAATAGGTGTGTAAATTTTATAAAATATACCACAGTATTTTCCACGGTCTTATCACGTTTTTACTTTTAATGATAATTAATAATGTACACAATGTAGACGGCCACGAAATTTAAAAAAAATCTAGTCGAGTTATGAATAAAATCAGCCGAATTTTACGATAATAAATAATAATAATTTTCCTAAAGTCCCGAAAAAATACTCAAGGAACTGATGTTGCATTACAACATAAATAATTCAATCAATCTACCCAGGAATTATTCATTCCAATTCATCCAAATTCAAAATCTTTGTCTTAAAAAAATGTTAATGGATTGAATATTGTTATGAAGTGGGACTCAGTACTGGACAGTGGATCTAATCTTGTTGGTTAAGGTGGGAACGAAAGGAAGATTTTCCACCGAACGGGTGATATTGCTCGCTAGATCGACGATCCGAATGTTGTTCGGAACTTGTATACCTATATGCAAGCTTATCTTGAAAATGTCGTAAGCTAGATTCAGGCATCTGTCAAATATCTTGCGCTGTATGATGGCTACCCGCCATTATAATACTGGCCATTTGATACATAACTTATATATGACTAACAATAAATTCTAAATTCAAATGAATTCTCTAAGGATTATTTTCAAATCACGCTTGCAGAAGATCATATTGGTTACTTAATGAGCCTCTTGCCGGGCTTGAAAAAATACAGTATAGGCATCCTTTGTGAATCTGAGCTCGCACACAGGTCTATATGGTGGATCATAGTATTAGATAATAAACTTAATATGGTGGATACTACCGCGTTAATGAACTGCCTACATTTGCCTATTTCAGCTGAAAACGTGCTATGTGTTCTACCCGATGATAGAATATTTTTTACTGGTGGTAGGACCACTTGTGAGTCCGCGCGGGTAGGTACCACCGCCCTGCCTATTTCTGCCGTGAAGCAGTAATGCGTTTCGCTTTGAAGGGTGGGGTAGCCGTTGTAACTATACTGAGACCTTAGAACTTATATCTCAAGGTGGGTGGCGCATTTACATTGTAGATGTCTACGGGCTCCAATAACCACTTAACACCAGGTGGACTGTGAGCCCGTCCACCTATCTAAGCAATAAAAAAAAAAAAGGCAGGCGAAGTAAAATGTCCCTTAGAAATAAGGTGACACTCTACAAAACTTGCATACGCCCCGTCATGACCTATGCAAGTGTAGTGTTCGCTCACGCGGCCCGCACTCACCTAAAATCATTTCAAATTATTCGATCCCGTTTTTGCAGGATAGTCGTCGGAGCCCCGTAGTTCGTCAGGAACGTCGACCTCCATGACGACCTGGACTTAGAGTCCATCAGTAAGTATCTACAGTCGGCGTCGATGCGCCACTTCGATAAAGCGGCACGACACGAGAACCCTCTCATCGTGGCCGCCGGTAACTACATTCCCGATCCTGCGGAAAGAATGGAAAGCAGTCGACGTCGCCCAAAACACGTCATCTCGGATCCTCCCGATCCACTAACGGTGCTTTTAGGTACCTCAAGCACCTGTCACCGTTCTCGTCGAACCCGTCGCTTGCGAGGGGGCTCGACGAGTAGCAGCATAGGTAGGAAAAAAAAAGCTATGTGTTCTAATTTGGTCGATATGATAGCTGTTATTTTAATTCAATACACTATCTATATAGAAGTAGCTCTTATGGCAGTTTGAGTATAGCTAAGGTACTTGATATAATTCTTCGTATCGCTTTACTGGCGTGAAGTGCCAGACTGGCTTACGGTCTAGCTGACACTATATCACTACTGACACTATGTAACAGAAATAGGCATAAGACACGGCCTTACGGATCCGTCAGATACTATAACTGTTGTATTAGACGCTTTCAGCTCTAACACTAGGAGCAGATTTAGGGACCCCGGTAACCATACTCGTCGAATTCGGCAATGAGTTAAACGTACAACCTAGCCCATGCATCAACCCGCTCAGTTTCTTGCCGGATCTTCTCAGCGGATCGTGATTCCGATCCAGTAATAGATTAATTCGCGAAGCAGCTGCTCTTGAGTTGTTAGGTCTCGTTAGAGACGTTCCGGCAGCTGTTAGCAGATCCCCCCACCCCTCCTGATTGGATTTTTGCTCGCCCATCAGTCCTGGTGAAACTGGAAAAACCTCTGGGCCACCAGTAATCTCTAATACATTTTTTTTTGTTGCTTCGATGGGTGGACGAGCTCACAGCCCACCTGGTGTTAAGTGGTTACTGGAGCCCATAGACATCCACACGCGGGATACTTCTCTCATTACAAATTATAATACGCCCTTTCACCAGTAATAATACAAATACATGGTTATGATTTACCATTCCGTCGTGCAAATCATTCTTGGACACGTTCCAGGTAAATTGGAAAATTGGTTACCTCACTGCCAGCACACAACTATTAGGAGTATGGATACGATAGGGATATTAGAGGAGCTTAGCTAATTTATTCAAAATAAAGTCTAAGCACAGTCGAGTAAACCGACCGTTGTCAATCGTATTGGTAACGTGTGCCGGTGTATTACAAGTGCACACGCGCAGGGGAGGCTAGTTGTCAGCGGCGACCCCACCCTTGCCCACTTGCCGTTAACTTGCACCACCATCGCTCGACAGTTTTGGCGCCAGTTAACCTGCTGGCACCACTGCGATTCCCCGCGCGTTATTCCACCCGGTGCGGTGTAATTTCACACCGTGAATTCAAGCCCCATTCATAAAAAGAAAAACATTTTGGAATCTTTGTTCTAGTTATTTTTAGTTTTGTGTTATTTTTTTCTAAATTAAACAGTGTTGCGTGCGTGAATTTTGAAAAAGCAAACATTGTGATTGTTTTGGACCGTGCAATGTGAGTTTATTGTTTTTTCTGCGTATAGCTCATGTTTTTGATTTCCTTACATATTGTATGTACACATGTACTGGTTAAATAATATTTTGTAAATTTTATGATTTGATTTACAACTAGGTATTTGGAAAAGAGTTAGCACTGAGTTTCTCGACGATTCTTCTTAGTGCACTCCGACTCGGTGGTAGTCACGAAAGAAACTTTTGGGTTTTCTTAAAAAGTTCATAATGGACCCTTCGATCAGCAATGAAGAATGGACCAATCAATGATTCCGTTATTTCTGTTATGTTTAGTTTTTGTTCTACATGAGGTCCCTTGCAGCTTTGTTTTGGTCGACTGGAAACAAGGGGCGCGAACGTAACGCATCGCTACCACAACGGTCAATGCATTAAGATTGAGGCACTTCACTGCTCACCATACATAATGCATAACATGCATGACATACAAGTGTGTGCATAATACATTTAAGATCTCTTTCTATAAAATCTCGTTGACTAATGTAATTGTTAATCAGGACTCCGGATTTGGTTACAATTAATGTTACTATTATTTTCTTAAATATTTTTAGATCCCAAACACTTCCGTTAACTACGTAAGTAATCGGGATCTAAAAATGCAACTTGCAAACGCTACGTTGCATGGGAAAAATGCGTTGTCAAAAGAAAAATTTTTTTTTTTAAATATCCACTTGTTTATTTGTTTGTTAGTAAAATACACTGACTGCACTTATAATAATTAGTTTGGTTATCCAGTTGGAATTCCAAAATTTATTGTGGAAATAACATAATTGGCATAGAAAATACATTACACTTTGGCGACCGTTCATATCATTGAAATGAGAGGCTCCGAAAAAAAAAAACCAATAAAAATGATTACATAATCCTTGTAAGTAGATTGAGTTGAATGCAGCGCCTCGATGATATATCTTGCATTCATTTTACAATTTAAACTAAAAAATTAGAACACGACTTACGTACTAACCATTACTTCAAATAAACTTCAGGTTAGCTTGAAATTTTGAATTTGAATTTTGAAATTTGAAAGTGACAATAACTACCAACAACTAACTCGGATGCTTATTTTAGCCCAGTTAAATTCGCTAATGGGAAAAGCTGGATCTTCAACAGGTCTTAACCAAATGGCTCTATTACTACCACCCTCCGCGACATTATACTATTCAATAACAATATTCATTTGAATCGAGGCGAGGTTTTATCAATTACATCTCAATATGCTTTTGGAATTACTGTAACTTATCTACAAGTTTCGCATCACTTAGAGCAATAAATAGTTCCCAGTTGAATAAAAGCTAGCCAGGCTGGTTGTCTGTAAGTTAACGTCATCGTCATATCCAAGTATTGAAATGTGCTCCATTTAATGTTAACAAAAATAACTCTCACAAGAAACTCGTGCTTAACTAAAATTAATGAGAACTGTATATTTCCACTGCGTATGTGCATAATTATCATAAAATTGTATAAAAGTGGGATTTGCGCACTTACTTAAGTGTAGATATGGTCGGAAAGGCTGCGCGGTATCATGGCGCAACAACGGGTAAACCCAGTTAACCACGTGCCATCAAATGTACAGAATACTATGTATGGTGTTGGTAGCTTTACATGGCACACAGAAACTAGAATATCATCTGTATATATTATATGTAATATTACTTTTCACAATTTTATCATATGAGGATTATCTTTTTAATAACTGTTATGGATTGACGAACTCGCGAACCATCTGATTTAAAACTGTTACCGAAATTCATAGAGATATAATGTGAATGCGCATCCACTCTTAGAACGAGGTCTACGTCATAAATCTAACAAAAAATGTCTACCCCACTCTTCGAACCATAACGCAGATTGGCGTAAAGATGCGTGTCGGTCGAGAACAATATCTCTGCACTTATGTAGGTACATGTGTATGGGGTGGATGGGCTC